AGAGGCATAGGACTCAAGTTGATTGTGTCTTGAAGATGTTAGTTAGTCCATATCCGTCCTTTGTCTTCTGTATTTGAGAGAGGGGAGATTAGTGTTCTTAGCCTTTCAGTATATGAGTAGTATCTAGAGTCAATCCCAGCCAGTCCCTACTAAATACTTCTCTTGTCGCCTTAACATCCCTTTGTATGCATTAGATTCCCAGTCCCTAGTTAAGGATTACTAAATACTTCTCTAGTTTAGTCAGTCCCTACTAAATACTTCTCTAGTTAGTCCATCTCAGCCAGTCCCTACTAAATACTTCTCTAGTTTGTCCATCCCAGTTAGTCCCTACTAAATACTTCTCTAGTTAATCCATCCCAGCCAGTCCCTACTAAATACTTCTCTATTTAATCCATCCCAGCCAGTCCCTACTAAATACTTCTCTATGCAGTCCATCTCAGCCAGTCCCTACTAAATACTTCTCTAGTTAGTCCATCCCAGCCAGTCCCTACTAAATACTTCTCTAGTTAGTCCATCCCAGCCAGTCCCTACTAAATACTTCTCTAGTTAGTCCATCCCAGCCAGTCCCTACTAAATACTTCTCTAGTTAGTCCATCCCAGCCAGTCCCTACTAAATACTTCTCTAGTTAGTCCATCCCAGCCAGTCCCTACTAAATACTTCTCTAGTTAGTCCCAGCCAGTCCCCTAAATAGCCAGTCCCAGCCAGTCCCTACTAAATACTTCTCTAGTTAGTCCATCCCAGCCAGCCAGTCCCTACTAAATACTTCTCTAGTTAGTCCATCCCAGCCAGTCCCTACTAAATACTTCTCTAGTTAGTCCATCCCAGCCAGTCCCTACTAAATACTTCTCTAGTTAGTCCATCCCAGCCAGTCCCTACTAAATACTTCTCTAGTTAGTCCATCTCTGTCAGTCCCTTCTAAATACTTCTCTAGTTAATCCATCCCAGCCAGTCCCTACTAAATACTTCTCTAGTTAGTCCATCCCAGCCAGTCCCTACTAAATACTTCTCTAGTTAGTCCATCCCAGCCAGTCCCTACTAAATACTTCTCTAGTTAGTCCATCCCAGCCAGTCCCTACTAAATACTTCTCTAGTTAGTCCATCCCAGCCAGTCCCTACTAAATACTTCTCTAGTTAGTCCATCCCAGCCAGTCCCTACTAAATACTTCTCTAGTTAGTCCATCCCAGCCAGTCCCTACTAAATACTTCTCTAGTTAGTCCATCCCAGCCAGTCCCTACTAAATACTTCTCTAGTTAATCCATCCCAGTCAGTCCCTACTAAATACTTCTCTAGTTAGTCCATCCCAGTCAGTCCCTACTAAATACTTCTCTAGTTAGTCCATCCCAGCCAGTCCCTACTAAATACTTCTCTAGTTAGTCCATCCCAGCCAGTCCCTACTAAATACTTCTCTAGTTAGTTAATCCCAGCCAGTCCCTAATAAATACTTCTCTAGTTAGTCCATCCCAGCCAGTCCCTACTAAATACTTCTCTAGTTAGTCCATCCCAGCCAGTCCCTACTAAATACTTCTCTAGTTAGTCCATCCCAGCCAGTCCCTACTAAATACTTCTCTAGTTAGTCCATCCCAGCCAGTCCCTACTAAATACTTCTCTAGTTAGTCCATCCCAGCCAGTCCCTACTAAATACTTCTCTAGTTAGTCCATCCCAGCCAGTCCCTACTAAATACTTCTCTAGTTAGTCCATCCCAGCCAGTCCCTACTAAATACTTCTCTAGTTAGTCCATCCCAGCCAGTCCCTACTAAATACTTCTCTAGTTAGTCCATCCCAGCCAGTCCCTACTAAATACTTCACTAGTTTGTCCATCCCAGCCAGTCCCTACTAAATACTTCTCTAGTTAGTCCATCTCAGCCAGTCCCTACTAAATACTTCTCACTTCTCTAGTTAGTCCATCCCAGCCAGTCCCTACTAAATACTTCTCTAGTTAGTCCATCCCAGCCAGTCCCTACTAAATACTTCTCTAGTTAGTCCATCCCAGCCAGTCCCTACTAAATACTTCTCTAGTTAGTCCATCCCAGCCAGTCCCTACTAAATACTTCTCTAGTTAGTCCATCCCAGCCAGTCCCTACTAAATACTTCTCTATTTAATCCATCCCAGCCAGTCCCTACTAAATACTTCTCCAGTTTGTCCATCCCAGTCAGTCCCTACTAAATACTTCTCTAGTTAGTCCATCCCAGCCAGTCCCTACTAAATACTTCTCTAGTTAGTCCATCCCAGCCAGTCCCTACTAAATACTTCTCTAGTTAGTCCATCCCAGCCAGTCCCTACTAAATACTTCTCTAGTTAGTCCATCCCAGCCAGTCCCTACTAAATACTTCTCTAGTTAGTCCATCCCAGCCAGTCCCTACTAAATACTTCTCTAGTTAGTCCATCCCAGCCAGTCCCTACTAAATACTTCTCTAGTTAGTCCATCCCAGCCAGTCCCTACTAAATACTTCTCTAGTTAGTTAATCCCAGCCAGTCCATAATAAATACTTTTCCCAGCCAGTCCCTACTAAATACTTCTCTAGTTAGTCCATCCCAGCCAGTCCCTACTAAATACTTCTCTAGTTAGTCCATCCCAGCCAGTCCCTACTAAATACTTCTCTAGTTAGTCCATCCCAGCCAGTCCCTACTAAATACTTCTCTAGTTAGTCCATACCAGCCAGTCCCTACTAAATACTTCTCTAGTTAGTCCATCCCAGCCAGTCCCTACTAAATACTTCTCTAGTTAGTCCATCCCAGCCAGTCCCTACTAAATACTTCTCTATGCAGTCCATCTCAGCCAGTCCCTACTAAATACTTCTCTAGTTAGTCCATTCCAGCCAGTCCCTACTAAATACTTCTCTAGTTAATCCATCCCAGTCAGTCCCTACTAAATACTTCTCTAGTTAGTCCATCCCAGCCAGTCCCTACTAAATACTTCTCTAGTTAGTCCATCCCAGCCAGTACCTACTAAATACTTCTCTAGTTAGTCCATCCCAGCCAGTCCCTACTAAATACTTCTCTAGTTAGTCCATCCCAGCCAGTCCCTACTAAATACTTCTCTAGTTTGTCCATCCCAGTCAGTCCCTACTAAATACTTCTCTAGTTAGTCCATCCCAGCCAGTCCCTACTAAATACTTCTCTAGTTAGTCCATCCCAGCCAGTCCCTACTAAATACTTCTCTAGTTAGTCCATCCCAGCCAGTCCCTACTAAATACTTCTCTAGTTAGTCCATCCCAGCCAGTCCCTACTAAATACTTCTCTAGTTTGTCCATCCCAGTTAGTCCCTACTAAATACTTCTCTAGTTAATCCATCCCAGCCAGTCCCTACTAAATACTTCTCTAGTTAGTCCATCCCAGCCAGTCCCTACTAAATACTTCTCTATGCAGTCCATCTCAGCCAGTCCCTACTAAATACTTCTCTAGTTAGTCCATCCCAGCCAGTCCCTACTAAATACTTCTCTAGGCAATCCGTCTGTACTAAATACCTCTTTAGACAGTCCGAATTAATCCGATATTCCTTATTACCTCTCTAGACAGCCCGTTCCAATCCACCCGTACGTAATAAAAACCTTACTACACGCCCGCCTCACTCCGTTCCTATTAAATACCTCTCCAGACAGCCCGCCTCAATCTGTCCTTAGTAAATATCTCTCTAGACAGCTCGTCCCTATCCGTTCCTATTAAATACCTCTCCAGACAGCCCACCTCAATCCTTCACTGCTAAACCTCAAAAGTCAATAATACACAATACAAACAAACCAATGATAAAGCTTAACTTTACACTAAATTAAAAAGAGGTAGTGGTTTTAAATCTTAATACCAACAGGGATCAAAACATGCCCGAAGCTACCTGCGATTGGTGAACTAAAATGGGCGTGGCTATTTCGGCCATCCAGTACCACATACAGGGTATGTCTAAAATGAGGATTTGATTTATTACTTTTGAACCCTAACTTGTCTTCTGAATTAGAAGAATTGTACGAACAGATATGATCATATTAGTCGGATCATGTAAGGCGTGTTACGTCGCTGTTGTACCTCGCGTCGTACAGAGCTCCACACAAAAGTGTTATCTTTTAATGTTAATCTTTGTCTTTAATTAATGTCTTCTTGGATAGATAATTTTAATTAGACAATTCCACGTCCCTGGTATGAATGAGTATTAGGAATAATTCAAAGGAAGATCTTTTTATTTGTAATTTTACACATCTGGTTATTTTGTAACATCGTATTTTGTTTGAAACATAACCATCCAATAAATTGCGATTGATAGCGTGATCAGCACTCGTACTCTATTGATAAATTGTATGTGTACAAAGTTTTATGTTTAATATCCTGGTACAAGTAGTCATAAATGTACAATTTTTTTTTAAAAAAATCTATACAATTTGGTCCTTTAATAAGTTAACGTGGTCTGCGGTTGGTTATATGCTGTGTCATTTCCTCTTTATTTTTCACATAAAAGGAAACAAAGTGTGCCCGACTTCAGTTACAAATAGCCTTTAAATCTGTATGTGTTAAGATACGGTTGAGTCGCTAGTATGTACAGTATAAAAGACAAATATATACCGTGCTGAGAGAAATGCACACATGTTATACCCTGACCGAACACATGTCTGTCACGTTTTCATAAATCTGTATCTATAACGTACGTTTCGTAAAGCTATTATAGGGTTATAGAGAGTAAATGTGATAGATACATTTCTGTCTACAACCGTGATGTAGTGATCAGTGCAACAACAGATATAGATAATACATATATTATAAATCGGCCGAACTTGTCTATGCTGTATTTATAATACGGAAGGCCTTCATTGACTGGCGGAACTTGCAGGACGGGATACATATATAGTCCGTTTCGCTGTTGGCCTGTCAAAGCCCCTGGACGGCCCCTCTTGTGCACGCTACAGATACTTCCGATACAACAGTAAGCTAACACGTGTGACTGACAAACGATTCGTGTCGTTCTCCCTGGTGTAGGTCTATGTAAAACGTCTGACGAGGAAACTGGGATTTCAGTGCTGTATCAACGAGTACGGAATTTCTTTATTATACCAGAACATACATTCAGATCATCTGGCAAAACTGACGAAGAATGACAATCAAAGGTTCTGGATAATTAATCAGATAGCAATATTCTGCTGATGTAAAAAGGATCCGAGAAATGTGACATGGATGTGTTATCTTCTCTTTAATCAAGGAATTTTAAAACATTCATCTGAAATTCAATTACGGCTGGAATAACAGTTATTTGAATTGATTCTTTGGTGTTTAAAAGTGATTACAAGCTTTTTTTGCCTGAATACACTACCTAATACTGGATAAACATTTGTGAAATTGTCCGGTTCATGTTGTGTAAATACTTTACGTGGTATCTGAGACACACCTGTCTTACTGGTAGTAGACACGGTGATGTCAAAAAGATACACCATCAAAACTAGACACGATGTGATACACTCGGATAAACATCTTAACCTTCATCGCAATATTAGTCACATTTCTGACTGTGATTCGTAAACTAGACACTCAGATACACATGTTTTACAGTTAATCACATGATAGACACCCTGTGATACACTTAGATGCACGTCTTCTTGTTTGTACACAATATTAAAAAGACATCGATACATTTAGATACCTGTCTAACTCTCTGTGAGGAACGCTAGAAAGACATTGTGGTGTTATGATACACTTGTCTTATCGTGAATACACAATAAGACATATAGAACTGGAGCAACATTGAGATGCTGTAATATTTAGATACTGTGACAGTCGCTGTTTCACGGATCATAATTTATAAGGATACTCGACAAAGACAATACTGATACACTCAGCTACTTACTGCTGTCTAGTTTAGCGTGACGTACCTGAGTCTGAAACAGAGAATCTACGTCAGCCGAATACTAGAGAACTTGGTGGAATGTTAGAATCCTGTGTTCGTTAAGACGTCGATACAGAACTGTAAACAGAGTTCGGGCTAGTTAGCCGACACTGTTGCTAATAATTCATCATTATCACAGACGGTTGTGTTTCAACTCTTTCCTCATTATGACATATTTTTCTCTATCAAATAACACTTGCGTTACTACTAGATTACATTGTGTCGAAGGAAATGTTGTAGTTCCTAAATTAACCCCGTATGTCAATTGAATAATGTGGACAAAATCGAAAGCTTTAAAATTGGCAAATTGGAATTAATTTACAACAGAAGTCGTTCACGTTGCATCCCAACCTCCCAGTAAATATTGCACCGAGTTGTCACAGACAGCCCGCCGGGGTATAGCGTGCCTAAAGGGAGCCTGGCTCTCGGGAATGGAGGCTGCTGCCAATCGACAACATAACTACATCTGTCGTTTATACAACATGGAAGTACCACGAATTTTACCATTATTCCTGTTACTACTTGTATTTTCTCTTGCCGAAAGTGGACTTAAAGAAGAGGAGGTGGACAAGACACTTAGAGCGGTCCTAGCGTGCAATAAAAACCCAGGTATGGCCGTTTCCGTGGTCAAGGATGGCCGGATTGTGTTTTCAAAAGGATATGGAGTAAAAAATCGAGAAACTAAGGAGCCTGTTTCTAACAAAACATTATTTGGAATTGCGTCCCTGTCCAAGGCTTTTGCATCAACACTGCTTGTCAAACTACTACATCGAACCAAAGAGTGAGTACCCCTTAAGACATTACTGACGCACGCTTTTCTACTACATTGCTAACCTGCAATTTTCACAATTATGTTTGAAATGGAAAATGCTCTCTCTGATGTTTAAAATGGGTAATTATCTTGAAACAGTTTCTTTTCTCCTGTATTTAGTTTTAGTGACTCTTGAACAGTAATTGATTTCCAGTTACAGAACATCTTTAAACGGAACAATATTTGGACACATACAAACACATATATAATAGATGTATATATCTATGTTTACAATGACATATTGCCTTCTCAGTTAAGACATTATCACTATTAGATCTCGTCTGGAAGAGTTTGAGAACTTATTTTGACAATCGGAAATGTTTGATTTACAATCAAATAACTCTTTCACTGGCATTAGCTTTGCTTTAGGGAAACCTATAAAATATATATGAAACAAAGACAGTGTTTTGGGAGATAGATAGCCAGCTACACGCACGTTATAATGACTGTGATCATATAGCACAATCACTAGTTTGTAGAGAATCATACCCACGCACATTCTTATGTATCTAAACGTGATCAACAGTGGAGTAAAATGTATTTCTACTCTTAGACACAAAAGATCTGACCAAAAATTGACCAAAATATGTTCCAAACATTAAACTAACTTATGAATTAATTGACATTTTAAAAAATGCATTATCCTAATCAACATTAGGGTTTTCTTTATTCAGTGCTGAAAAGGTATTATTTGTTGATAATGTTTATCTTACTTGAGTCGATCAATTTTAAACTGCAGAAAATATAAATAAGAAAATGTTACTGGTGAAAAATTCAAATTTAGCCCTCACGACATTGGCAGTCATTTCCCACCTGACGCTAACTTCATATAGAAACCCGTATAATACGGGCCTATTTCTGTTTCTTATCATGAAAGCAATATCATTGTAAATAATTAAGGCAAATAGAACATTTTACTTCCAGTATTATTGTGAAACGTTATTTCAGAAAGAAATGACACCTTCAATGTGAAAATACACATTTATTAAGATTATTAACACCAGTGTCGAGTGTAGACTGTACAACTTGTATGCTTTCATACACAAATGTCGAGTGTGGACTGTACAACTTGTATGCTTTCAAACACAAATGTCGAGTGTAGACTGTACAACTTACATGCTTTCAAACACAAATGTCGAGTCGAGTGTAGACTGTACAACTTGTATACTTTCATACACAATTGTTGAGTGTAGACTGTACAACTTGTATGCTTTCATACACAAATGTCGAGTGTAGACTGTACAACTTACATACTTTCAAACACAAATGTCGAGTCGAGTGTAGACTGTACAACTTAAATGCTTTCATACACAAATGTCGAGTGTAGACTGTACAACTTGTATGCTTTCATACACAAATGTCGAGTCGAGTGTGGACTGTACAACTTACATGCTTTCAAACACAAATGTCGAGTCGAGTGTGGACTGTACAACTTACATACTTTCAAACACAAATGTCGAGTCGAGTGTAGACTGTACAACTTGTATGCTTTCATACACAAATGTCGAGTGTAGACTGTACAACTTGTATGCTTTCATACACAAATGTCGGGTGTGGACTGTACAACTTGTATCCTTTCATACACAAATGTCGAGTGTAGACTGTACAACTTGTATGCTTTCATACACAAATGTCGAGTGTGGACTGTACAACTTGTATGCTTTCATCTACAAATGTCGAGTGTAGAATATACAACTTGTATGCTTTCATACACAAATGTCGAGTCGAGTGTAGACTGTACAACTTGTATGCTTTCATACACAATTGTCGAGTCGAGTGTAGACTCTACAACTTGTATGCTTTCATACACAAATGTCGAGTGTAGACTGTACAACTTACATACTTTCAAACACAAATGTCGGGTGTGGACTGTACAACTTGTATGCTTTCATACACAAATGTCGAGTGTAGACTGTACAACTTGTATGCTTTCATACACAAATGTCGAGTGTAGACTGTACAACTTGTATGCTTTCATACACAAATGTCGAGTGTAGACTGTACAACTTGTATGCTTTCATACACAAATGTCGAGTGTAGACTGTACAACTTGCATGCTTTCATCCACAAATGTCGAGTGTAGACTCTACAACTTGTATGCTTTCATACACAAATGTCGAGTGTAGACCGTACAACTTGTATGCTTCCATACACAAATGTCGAGTGTGGACTGTACAACTTGTATGCTTTCATACACAAATGTCGAGTGTAGACTGTACAACTTGTATGCTTTCATACACAATTGTCGAGTGGAGTGTAGACTGTACAACTTGTATGCTTTCATACACAAATGTCGTGTGTGGACTGTACAACTTGTATGCTTTCAAACACAAATGTCAAGTGTGGACTGTACAACTTGTATGCTTTCATACACAAATGTCGTGTGTAGACTGTACAACTTGCATGCTTTCATACACAAATGTCGAATGTGGACTGTACAACTTGTATGCTTTCATACACAAATGTCGAGTGTAGACTGTACAACTTGTATGCTTTCATACACAAATGTCGGATATACGTTGTAGGACAATAAGCTTGTTATGTCCAAGCGTCGGATGTACGTTGAAGGACAATAAGCTTGTTATACAAAAGTGTCGGATGTACGTTGTGGGACAATAAGCTTGTTATACACAAGTGTCGGATGTACGTTGTAGGCCAATAAGCTTGTTATACACAAGTATCGGATGTACGTTGTAGGACAATAAGCTTGTTATACACAAGTATCGGATGTACGTTGTAGGGAAATACGCTTGTTATACACAAGTGTCGGTTGTACATTGTAAGACAATAATAAAGTGCTTGTTAGGGAAATAAGCACAAGTGTCGGAAGTGTAGGACAATAAGCTTGTACAAGTGTCGGATGTACGTTGTAGGACAATAAGCTTGTTATACACAAGTGATCGGACAATGTACACAGTTGTCGGATGTACGTTGTAGGACAATAAGCTTGTTATACACAAGTGTCGGATGTACGTTGTTGGACAATACAATCCAAGTGTCGGATGTATTGGACAATAAGCTTATTATCCAAGTGTCGGATGTACGTTGTAGGACAATAAGCTTGTTATACACAAGTGTCGGATGTACGTTGTAGGACAATAAGCTTGTTATACACAAGTATCGGATGTACATTGTAGGACAATAAGCTTTTTATACACAAGTGTCGGATGTACGTTGTAGGGAAATAAGCTTGTCCAAGTGTCAGATGTACGTTGTAGGACAATTAAATCAAGTTGTGTATACACATGTGTCTGATGTACGTTTAGGGAAATACGCTTGTTATACACAAGTGTCGGATGTACATTGTAGGACAATAAGCTTGTTATACACAATAAGCTTGTAGGACAATAAGCTTGTTATACAAAAGTGTCGGATGTACGTTGTAGGACAATAAGCTTAAGTGTCGGATGTACGTTGTAGGACAATAAGCTTGTTATATCCAAGTGTCGGATGTACGTTGTAGGACAATAAGCTTGTTATACACAATGTCGGATGTACGTTGTAGGACAATAAGCTTGTTATACACAAGTGTCGGATGTACGTTGTAGGACAATAAGCTTGTTATACACAAGTGTCGGATGTACGTTGTAGGACAATAAGCTTGTTATACACAAGTGTCGGATGTACGTTGTAGGACAATAAGCTTGTTATACACAAGTGTCGGATGTACGTTGTAGGACAATAAGCTTGTTATACACAAGTGTCGGATGTACGTTGTAGGACAATAAGCTTGTTATACACAACTGTCGGATGTACGTTGTAGGACAATAAGCTTGTTATACACAAGTATCGGATGTACGTTGTAGGACAATACGCTTGTTATACACAAGTGTCGGATGTACACAAGTATCGGATGTACATTGTAGGACAATAAGCTTGTTATACACAAGTGTCGGATGTACATTGTAGGACAATAAGCTTGTTATACACAAGTGTCGGATGTACGTTGTTGGACAATAAGCTTATTAAATCCAAGTGTCGGATGTACGTTGTAGGACAATAAGCTTGTTATATCCAAGTGTCAGATGTACGTTGTTGGACAATAAGCTTATTAAATCCAAGTGTCGGATGTACGTTGTAGGACAATAAGCTTATTAAATCCAAGTCGGATTATTGTAGGACAAAAAGCTTATTAAATCCAAGTGTCGGATGTACGTTGTAAGACAATAAGCTTATTATACACAAGTATCGGATCTACATTGTAGGACAATAAGCTTGTTAAACACAAGTATCGGATGTACATTGTAGGACAATAAGCTTGTTATACACAAGTATCGGATGTACATTGTAGGACAATAAGCTTGTTATACACATGTGTCGGATGTACGTTTTAGGGAAATACGCTTGTTATAGCCAAGTGTCGGATGTACGTTGTAAGACAATAAGCTTGTTATACACAAGTGTCGGATGAACGTTGTAGGACAATAAGCTTGTTATACACATGAGTCGGATGTACGTTTTAGGGAAATACGCTTGTTATAGCCAAGTGTCGGATGTACGTTGTTGGACAATAAGCTTATTAAATCCAAGTGTCGGATGTACGTTGTAGGACAATAAGCTTGTTATACACAAGTGTCGAATGTACGTTGTAGGGAAATACGCTTGTTATACACAAGTGTCGGATGTACATTGTAGGACAATAAGCTTGTTATACAAAAGTGTCGGATGTACGTTGTTGGACAATAAGCTTATTATATCTAATTGTCGGATGTACGTTGTAGGACAATAAGCTTGTTATATCCAAGTGTCAGATGTACGTTGTTGGACAATAAGCTTATTAAATCCAAGTGTCGGATGTACGTTGTAGGACAATAAGCTTGTTATACACAAGTATCGGATGTACATTGTAGGACAATAAGCTTGTTATACACAGGTGTCGGATGTACGTTGTAGGACAACAAGCTTGTTATATCCAAGTGTCAGATGTACGTTGTAGGACAAAAATCTTGTTATACACATGTGTCTGATGT